GCCCGACCACAGTAAGCTGCCGGGTCCCGCCGCGCTCACGTCCCGTCCCGTCCCGTCCCGGCGGGGGCGGCCGCACCTTGTGCCCCGGCCTCTGCGTGTGCGCGCGGAGCGGGGCCGGTTGCCGCGGTCCGGAGCCCGAGGCTTGGAGATGGCGCTTTTCTGAGCGTGTTCGTGCGGAGATGGGGACCTCCTCGTAGCCGCCCGGCGGCGGGTGCCGGAGTGCGGCGCCGCTTCCCGCGAGGAAGGGTTGCGCTGCCTTGGGTGACAAGTGGCGGTGGTGCGTCCGGGCGGTGCATGCGGCTGACCATAAAGGTGTCAGGAGACGTCGGTGTTGGTTCTGGTTCTGGTTCTGGAAGTGAAAGCGAGAGACGTAAACGGCGGCATTGCACACTCGGGGCACAGATGATTGTATACCCATAGGGGTGTGTGTACTATGCGTGTATATGTATGTCTGTAGGTATCCAGGTTGTAGCTGTGTTGGTCTAGAGGAAAAGGCAATCAGGACTCATAGCAGAGATAATATCTTGTGTTAGACCAACAAGATTTTTAAAAAAAAAAGTCTTTAATTGCAAGCTTTCAAGATAATTTGCATCCTCGCAGATCCTCGCAGGAGGGGAGAGGCTCCAGACCAGCTATGAACTGACTGCCCCGAGGAGTATTCCATCTTTTGACTCCTCTGTGAAATCCTATGAAATGTGAACTTTCATTTCTACCCAGGAGAACTTCTACAATCTCTTCTCCAATGCCTGATGAAGGGTGTTTGTACCCGAAAGCTTGCAATTAAAGACTTTTTTTTTTTTTTTTTGCCAAAATCTTGTTGGTCTAATAAAAGAGATCATCTCTCCTACGAGTCCTGTATGTGTAAATGCACATGCACTCTTCTGTATATATCATTGTGACCTGAGTCTGCAGTGTGTATGTGTATGCACACACACATGCGGGGGAGACCTGCAGGGGGGTGCCCTGATGCAGTCGCAACTCCCTTTGATTCCTGCTCCCCACCCTTAAATTTAAAACCAGTTGCCTGAAAGATGTAGCAGCATTTATAATGGCAGCAGTGCTGAGGGAGTCACTTGACTTCATGGCTAATTCAAATCTACCCAAGTACTTCTAATCTCTTCATTCCACTGATGTTAACAGACTCTTTCTTTTTTCTCATGGTCTTGATGTTCTGCTAATTAAACTAGGTATCTAAGTTGCAGCCATATTGCTCTGGAGCAGCAGTTCCCAACCTGTGGTACGTGTACCACCACTGGTATCCTGACAGCCTGTCAGTGCTATGCTTTAACAGATTTAGTATAATTACTTTATATGACAAAAATGTTCTGGTGGTACTTAAGGTTGTATCATTTTAAATTGGTGGTGTGCAATCTGTCAGTTTAGGAACCACTGCTCAGAGGCAAAAAGATCGGAACTCGTGGTAGAGGGGATATCCTTTATTAGACCAATTAGATGTTTGCAAAAATGTCTTTAATTGCAAGCTTTCAGGCACAAGCACCCTTCTTCAGGCATAGGAGAAAAGACTGTAGAAGTTCTCTTAGGAAGAAATAAAAGTTCATGTTTCATAGGAAGGTTGCAGGTGTGGTAAAATCTCCTGTTTGGAACAGTTCATTATATGCAGATTAGGTTCAGAGAAAAGCTGGAGTTGTCTGTTTACCTCAAAGTTGTTTGGCAAGTAGGATGTAGAGTCGTATTTCTTTCTAGCTTATGATGTTTCATATTTCACAGAAGAGTAAAAAGATGCAATGCTCTTTTGAGCAAGAATTTCTTTTGTGGTGAGCTGGGCTCTGTGATGATAATGCAGATTTATCTCAAACAATGGCAGGAGCAGGGTCTCAGGTTTCAGGTGGTAAAACTTACTTCCTCCTTGTAAAATTATGAAGATTTAATTTAAAAAATAGGCCAAAATTCAATATCTTCCATGTGTCAGGTATCCATGTTGTAGCTGTATTGGTCTAGAGGCAAAAGAAATTGGAACTCGTGGTAGAGGTGATACCTTTTATTAGACCAACTAGATGCTTGCAGGAAAAAAATATTTATTTACAAGCTAATTGAGCTAGCCTTCTTTCTTCAAGTCTGCTGTCTGTTAGCTGCTTCTGGTAATGCAATACATCTTTCTGCTTAGATATCATTCACTGTATTAATATTAGTCCCCCAGCATTCTGTGACTTTACTGGATAATTTGGGTGGTCAAGCAACAGATGATTTGGTTGCATAAACCTTTCTGTTCTGTTGTGTGTCTTTTACAGTAATGCCAACTCATAAAATTATCATGAGAGTTGCAATTTCTAAGTAAAATTAAGTTTGACTCATGATATTGCATCTCAAGTCTCATCTCAAAAAACTCTTCAAATCTTGGGATTTTTTTCTTCTGGTGTATCTCATGCCCAACCAGGTCAGAATTGGCTTCAAAGTCTCCGGGAGCCCAGGCAGGGCCTAGCTGCATGGGGGTGCAGGGAGACCTGCCAGCTCAGCACCAAGCGTGGGGCTACAAAGGCTGGGGAGCTGCTCAGGGCGTGATTCGATTTGGTGGAGATTTGGCTGCCAAATCTCCAAATCAGAATCAAATCAGAGGACCTTTTAATTTCTGTGAATCGAATCGGAACCCTCTGAATTGATTTGGAGAGATTCAGTGATTTGGACATGGACACAGCTCTAAATGTTTTTTCTACATACCTCTAGGTAGCAGGTGGGTCATCAGTGTTGCAATACTGGGGCACATGGAGGGTCCCACAGGAGTGCGGAGGGGCTCCCCAGCGCACTTGGCAGCAGACCTGGAAGTAGACCAGAAGCACTTCTGGTTGATTTCTGGGTCTGCTGGAGAGCATGGTGGGGGGCCCCCCTTGGTTCAGTGACTGGTGGCTCCTAGGTCTGGTGGGGAGCACCCAGGGCCCATCTGTGGCTGATTGCCAAGCCAGGAGGGCATGGAGGGCACCCAAACGCGCTTCCCAGTGGACCCGGAAGTGGACTGGAAGTTCTTTTGGTCCACTTCTGGGTTCACCGCCAAGCACAGGGAGGTGGGGCACCATGCTCCTGTGGGACGCTCCATCTGCCCCAGCATCGCAGTGTTGACCAGCTGTACCTGGTACCTCAAGCTATGTAGAAAAAACATTTAAAGTTGTGTCTATGTCTGAATCGCTGATTCTGAAGATTCGATGCTGATTCACAGATTCGGGTTCAGCCGAATCGAATTGGGGACAGTGATCAGAATCAGCAAATCAAATCGCTGTCTCCAATTTGGGCTGAATCCAAATTGAATAGGGCCTGTTTTGCACACCCCTAGTGCATACCTCCTCTTAAAGACCCTCAAGGCAAGGGAGAGTATCACCTCCCTTGGAAGCCCATTCCAGATTTTGGCAACCCTTACCATGAGAAAGTTCTTCCTGATGTCTAACCTAAATCTGCTCTCCATCAGTTTGTGGCTGTTGTTTCTAGTTACTCCAAGGGCTGACCTGGTTAACAGAGCATCTCTTGTTCCTTGCTGCCCCCCTCCCTGATGAATTGGTAGGTGGCCACAAGATCACCTCTCAGCCTTCTCTTGTAGAAGCTGAAGAGATCCAGGGCCCTCAATCTGCAAGCTCCTAACCATACGAGTGGCCCTTCTCTGAACCCTCTTGAGGTTGTCTGCATACCTCTTGAAGTGCAGCGCCCAAAACTGGATGCAGTATTCCATCTATGGCCTGACCAATGCCGCATAAAGAGGAAGTATCACCTCCCTGGACCTGTCCGTCATGCACCTGCCAATGCATAATAAAGTGCGGTTAGTGTTACTGATCGCTTTGTCACATTGATGACTCATGTTCATTTTGGTGCCAACAATGACTCCGAGATCCCTTTCTGCTGCTATGCTGCTGCAAAGGTCTTCCCCAGCCTGTAAGTGTGCTGGTGATTCCTTCTCCCTAGGTGCAGCGCCTTGCATTTGTCCTTGTTGAACTGCATCCTATTCTGCTCCGCCCACTTTTCCAACCTGTCCAGGTCCACTTAGATTTGTTCCCTACCCTCTAATGTGTTAACTTTACCACATAATTTGGTATCATCTGCAAATTTGGACAGAGTGCTTTCTACGCCCTCATCCAAGTCACTGATGTAGACATTGAACAGCACCAGTCCAAGGACCAAGCCTTGTGGGACTCCACTGCCCACATCTTTCCAGGCTGATACTGACCCATCCATCACCACTTTCTGAGTGCGACCCCCCCCCCAAGCCAATTTGCCGCCCACCATGCAATAATTTACAGCTGTTCAGTTCATCTGTGAGAATAGAATGAGATACCGTAGCAAAGGCCGTCTTAAAATCCAAGTACATGACATCTACCTTGATTCGTGCATCTAAGCATTTTGTTTAATGCTATGGAATTGAAATGCACAGTTGACTTCTTTAGTATGGGAAAATCAAG